AAGAGCGTTAATGAGATATATGTGATGGTGGTTGCGAATTCGATTGTCAGGGCCTATCAAGGGGAAAGACAAAGCAACAACATTCGACGTACCTCTTCCACGAACAAAAGACACAAGCCCATCAATGTCCACTGTTCTCACTGAACAAGGTCTCTCCTGCATGCTTACGGACGAATATAATATGGACATTGAAAAATATGATTACACGAGGATAGGTACATTCTACACATAACCGTCACGGATAGAAGCTGCAACGAAACCCGCCCAGCCTCAGTCTATTTTGGAGACAACTATGCAAGAGCAAGCGGGCTCTTCGTGGACTGTTCTACGTTTGAACAGATTTTATTATCCATCCTCGTCAGCACTTGCCACCTTATCCCATCAACAGTACCGCGCTCAAGCCTGCTACGATAGCCGCCCACCACCCAGACCTAGATATTGCGACCGCGTCATTATGGCTCGTATTGTTATCATCGGCGATTGCTTGGCCGCCTACAGCAGGAGGTACATCGAGGCCGGGAAAGTTGACGAGACCAGGGTCGTCCGGTCCAGCAGTGAGGTTGTCTCCGTTCTTGGATGTCGTGATATTCCAAGGCGTGTTGCCCGCTACGAACAAGTTCAGTTCAAGGTAGACCTTGTCATCAGCAACAAGACCACTCACGGAGGCCGAATGGACCCTCATCGACTTCACAAAGAACGTCCGGGCCGTCATCTCCTTTATCGTCGGGAATGGTTCCCTGTAAATATTGTTTCATTATATTTGAGGTGCATGTTGAATCTTAAGAGTGATTGTCGTAGCATTAGAATCAAGTTTTTCGTTTGAATGGTTTACGAAATGACATACTCAGAGCAACTGTACGCCAAAGTTAGTCTCAGTTTCGGAAGATGAGAGGGAAAGCAGATACTTACAAGTCGTGTGACCGTATCCAGCTTGCTGCACTAATCTAGCCTTGCTTCCTAGTAATCTAGTCACAAGTTGCGCGTTTCGAAAAGGTGTGGACGGATCCGCTGTTTTCACCAAAAGCAAAGAATAAAGGAATAGTGTCAGGTCCAGTTACGATTTCATCACGGGTTGGCCCTCACCTTGGTTTCCAATAACGAGCACGACATTCTTTGGTTGTACGTCCCAAGGACCAGAGTATCTCTCGACACCACGGGAGGTGTACCGGTGACAAAAGTGATCGGCATAGTGGAGGGACGCCGCTATAGGCCATACGGTTCGTGATATGCGGATCTTTTCCTCCATCACCCTTTCTGTTGTCACAATCTCAGGGTTCACTTCGGGAGTATCCGAGCACCTATTGAACGATATCAGAAATGGGAAATAGGACAATTAAAATAGAGGGCGTACTGAATCGTGATTAGGGTATAATTTCCGGCCCACAAATACCCGTAATAGTTGGCATTAAATTGTCGCTTGTCCAGGTCCCTCTTCCATATTGACCCAGAGTAAGCAGGCGTGCTGGATACAAGGGGTAGCTTGAACCGATTCTCTTCCGGTATCGTCTTCAGCATGGCCGCAGACTCGCTGAGAGATCCGTTGAGACCGAGTACGATAGCTTGGGCAGTCTTTGGCCAAGAAGGGTAGTAAAGGTTGGCAAAGATGGCTTGTTGAGCGAACTGGTTATAGCTCAGTCCCCCATTTCCGTCATTCCAGTTCTTGTATGTGGCCCCCAACATTTGATCGAGGGCTCCCTTGATACCCTCTGGTGTAGGATATCGCTCAGCAACCGCACACTTGCTGGGTCCAGCTAGAGCACAAGTGTTGTAGAATCCTTCGAGGACTGCATTTGCGTCCCCATATTGTTCGTCCGCGCCAAGGATTGGAAGGTACTGCGAGTTTGCTTGAGGATTCGCGACTCCTAATGATACAATACGGGTTAGTCTCGAGGCAATAAAAAGAGAACAAGTAGTATACCATCAATGATCACCTTGCCGACCCTGTTGGGGAACATCTGGGTAAATATCATTCCCATATAAGTACCATAACTGATTCCATAATAATTGATATCTTTATCGCTTCCGTATAGGGCGTCCGCCATGCTGACGATATCCCGGACATTGGAGGTGGTGCTGATGCTACAGGAATCGTCAATGCACGAAAACTTCAATTTCATGAGAAGGTACTCACTAAGTTAGATTGGCACCATTCTTGCTCTTGAATGCCTCGTCGAACTTTTGCAGCCCTTGATCGACAATCGAAGCTTGGCTCCGGCTATAAATTCTTGAGTATCAACTAAAGGCAGGCTGCGTAAGACTGACTAGAATGCTGCATCAGCATCTGTAGTTAGGTTTCCGTGACCCTCGTACTGTCCGGGATGGATGGTTTCTCCCCAGATATCCATTTTCTCTGCAGGGGTCAGGTCCTTGATGAAAGGTTCCGAAGCCCAAATACCCCCTAATAAGAATGAAAACTTGGTAAATACAGAAAAATCGTCAACTGATGAACGTACGAGGATCCCATGAGATGTAGTCCCAGTCTGCGCCCCACTTTTCGACAAAGTCACTTCCAACTTGAGCTATATTGATTACACCGGAACCCCCAGGTCCACCTGGATTGAAAAAAATACCGCCCCGACTAGGCTGTTGGCTTGCGGGTATACGAGCCATTTGTAGACGAATCGTTCCCTTGCTAGAGTCTGCATAGTCGAGAGGCACTCTGAAACGGATCAATTTAGTAACATAACTTTGAATGAGATGATGCGTACGATATTTTGGCGCATTCCAAGGGCGGCTTGGTGAGGTTTGTGGCGGCGAGGAGATAGACTGTACTGCATTCTTCGGTCGACCAAGTGATTGGATCTCTTTCAACGATATTTGCTAGTGTGTGCGTCGCACACCCCAGAGAAACGGCAGTCCAGACGAGGGGCTTGAACATGTTTACGGGTGGTGTCTGGTCGAGTCCCTTTCTGACGGCCTTTTAAAGGGCTGGAGACTCGATCGCAGTTGATGTTGTGCTTGCTGTTCATCGCAATGAGAAGATGACGAAGGAGGGAGGCCATCAAATAAACGTTGTTTGCCGGCCGGCAGGTTCGACATCACACGTCCAATTCAGTTCTGGCCCTCCACTAATTCAAGTCGAGAACTAGTGTGTGCGATAAAAGTCCCGATTCCCTGGTGCAGCTATTTGATAGAAGCATGACGAAGTTGTGCCACTGCTTGGCATGTGGAGTGGGTGTGTCGTGCTGTGTATGAGTCCCTTGTTGAGCACCACACAACTCGGGACGATGGATTGAGTGACGTTGGAGGATCGCTCCGGTAGCCGCTTTTTCGTGCACTGCGCGCAGCCCAGTCTCAGCATCGGTCAAATACGGCCTTTGTGAGTACTCCATCTCTCCACATGCACAAAAAATATCGTCCATGATAAATAAAAACGAGGTGGCTTTTGTAAATCTGGATCATTACGTTTGCTTGGAGCGCTTTATGAAGTGGTCGCACTTTAGCGGAGTTGATGAGATGAGAGGAAACCAAGGCAGCGGGCGAGCATATTCTGAACAGGAACTGGCTCCATCATCCTCGAGTTTCCTGAAAAGAATAGACTCGAGAGTTTTAAATTTAACGATATATTTATATGATTAGAAGGAGCAGAGGTTACGAATTTGGATGGGCAAGACACGTTCGGAAGGCAAGGGGTAAGAACAAAGCAACAACTTTTGACTATGGACCATGCAGTAATCTTTACCATGAGCAACAGAAATAAAAGTCCATTATTCTATGATATTCTCGTGAAAATGATGAGACGAAATTTCATAATTAAACCTCGATTTGCTTAATAGGCTCGATACAATCAAGGCTACTCACAAAACCAGAATTTCTCAACAGTAACACACTCCTCTGATAAATCCAGTCGATGCGACTCTTGGAGAACGATATATCGAGGAATAAAATCGGTCTGATCTTCGCTTTAGTTCAACCTGCAACGAAACGTTGAACCGATCCACGATAGGAAGATCTCCGAATAGATCTTTTATATGAATTAACTGGGCGTTCGAGAGCTAAAGTCACAACAAGCACTGGTTAGTCGCGGTACTTGGCGGATTCAGCATCGCTTACCTCGGCCCATGGCGAAGGATGAATAAAATTTGTCACATTCCATCGGTCCTTCAGACCCTGCAAGAACCTAGTCGGTTGATATAACCGTTGGGGATACTCCGAGAGCTTATGCAAGAGTAGTTCTATTGAGGGGCTGTTATCCTTATCGCGTGCTTTTCTCAGCAACTCGAACTTGAAGTCTGTGAAGATATTAAATGCATCCATTCCAAACACACTGAGGTGCGGACAGGTGTCCCATAAAGTAGGTGGGAGATCCCCGAGAGTCAGATAATCTTCACCAGATAAACGATAACCGATATCTAGACCAGTAAGCCCTTTACCATGCCGAGAAATAAAGTCGTTAATGACCTTGTGCGATGGCCTATGTAACTTTCCATGAATAACTAAAGTTTGTAGAGATGGGAAAGTCCAATTTATAGGCGAGTCATGTTCGCCCCAGCTTGTGGTCAGTAAGCTGAGATAGCGTAGATTAGAATGGACTAGCTGATTCGAAAGCAGTCTAAGGTTCTTGTGAACATCTTCGAGGTGGAGGTGACTTAGTCTGGGAGCGCATGTCGATAACTCTTCCATCGACCACGTTGCTGGGATCTCCGGACTAAACCCAATTGATAATACAACAAGGTTAGAGTGTGGCTTGAGAGCTCTTAGAGAGCGTGTAGTCAATGGACCCAAGATAAGGACATTGACTCGAGGAATGCGGGCATCGTCGTCTACCCTCCCTATAGTCCATCCTATAGAGCCCTTGTCATCCCTATAAGGGTATGATTTCCATTCGAGATAATGTATATTTCTTCTATGCGGCACACCCCAGAACCTGAGCTCGCTTCCTGCGGTTGATAAGCCAGGTATACACTGATATATGAGTAAATCGTTGAGTTTATATTGGCTTGTATATTCTTGAATCATGTTTGCAAAAGTTCGGCAAACTAGTCGAAGGCGCTTTACCGTAGTTTGTGCGTCTAGGCGCATCAAGTCGATCGGGCACATAGATGAGATCATGTTGAAGTTGTCGGCTAGATGTGCTGAAAGAACGCCTCTCTCCGTGAAAGGCAGGAATGGCATGGTGACGGCACACCTCAAGATCAGATCCCAGATCTCGACAGGAGTCCGTTCAACAGCGGAAAGTGACATTCGAAGGAAAGTGAGATAAAACCGAGAGCTGGGATTTCCGTGATTTAAGCCTCCGATAGGTAAGAATTAATGAATTATGATGGCAGGAGGTGGTAGTGGTTCATGTTCATCTTACAGTTTAACCAACGTAGCGATGTGCTCCAATTAGAAAGTCGACTTTAGCGATAATATTATAAATAAAAATTGACACCCTTTATCCCTAAGAATTAATAGAACATACAAAATACTTTCCGGTAGCGACGAGCTTAAAGAGTCCTCCACATTACGCCATCGACAGGAACAAAGTAAAGCTCGTCAAAACGGCGGCCCACCACCCGAGCCTGGAGGTCCTAGTCGTACCACTTTGGCTGTTGTCCACAACCGCAAGAGGCGGTGGATTGATGCCGGGGAAATTGATGAGGCCTGGGTCAGTTGGGCCTGAAGTGTACTGATCACCATTTTTGGATGTCGTGATATTCCAAGGAGTATTTCCGGCTGGAAGATAATTAGTAGCGCATTCGAGTTAGGCCAATTGAAGATGGTGAGAACACTCACGCAAACCAAATGGACCAATGTCAACTTCGCAGACTACATCGGGATCATCACTATTCTTATCCTCCGGAATCGTGCCCTGGAGGTATTGCTTGATGACATTTGTTGTGCAATTTGAGTCTAATCCAATATCGTCACGTTATCAAACCTTTTCACTCGAATAACCGGGTTAAAAGAACATACCCATAGCACCTACGCGCAAAGATCAGCAAAGATGCTTCGAATTCCTGTAGATCACTTACGACTTGTATGTCCATATCCGGCTTGCTGTACCAGTCTGGCCTTCGGACCTAAAAGTCCTGCAACAAATTGGGCATTTCTAAAAGGTGTGATCGGATCCGCTGAACGACCAAAAGTAGCAGGAATGAATATAGTCAGTTTCTCTTTAGACCATC